TCAGGTTCCAAGGTTGTGTCTTGGGGGTGATATTTTCTTATCTTCACCGGGCCAGCAAGGGCCCGGCCCCAGGACCCTGTGGCCAGGCTAAACTCATCTTGCTCTTTCTCCCTGCACGGTTTCTTTCAGTTTCATTTTCTCACACCTAATGGTATATTTCAGAGTGGGCGAACTAGGAAACAAAATCCGACTATGATGTTCTGCCCATGAGTTTTGGCCTTTCTTCCTGTGTTGTTCGTTCAACTTTTTTTTACCCGTCTAAGAAACCAGCTGTACCGAAATCCTTGCTTGTTGGTGCTGGGCCCAGAGAAGTATTGCAGAGATTCCCTGTGGCTTTTTTGAAGGCATGTCTCTGAGCTCCTTCTGTGTTTTTGTTTGTTCTTATGTGTTCCGACGTGTTTGCAGGGAATGGAGCTTTTGCGATGATTTGAGGCAGTTTGCCTTTAAAGTCAAGTAGCTAAAAACGGTTTTCTCAAGAAAGAAAAGGGAGGTGTATTTATTTTGGGTTTATTTTTTTCCGTCGCCCTCGGTTTTCTACCCTGGCCGGGGCTTGCCCCAAGAAATCCGGCTGCGGACCTGGCAGGCAGATCTTTATAGCCGGCACACCCTGGCGGACAAGCGATCCGAGGACAAGTCCTTGGGTGGCTGCCTCAGTGCCTCAGTGGCTGCCTCATGCCTTGATTTGTGCGAGCGCACGTCCTAAGGGTCAAGGTCTATGCTTGTGGATTTCTTACTTCAGCTGTAAGTCTATGGTTTGCCCACATCTAAGGATGAGTCGAACCACCCTCACAGGGTGGAGACGTCAGAGTCTAGTTACGGTGGGTGCTGCGCACCACTGCACCACGACTGTTGTGCCTGTCATCCAAGAGCAACGGTCCCGCAATACTGCTGGATGATGACAAAATGGTTGGCTATGTCACTCACTCATGTCACTGAGACAGAGCCTGGATTTCCCGAATTTGTTCAAATAATTCACGACTGGGCTTTCCAAATAGGTTTGTCTCAAAATGGGACAGCCCCCAAAATGGTAGGATTCCACTTCTTCTGCCTCTAATCAACCCCCAAGCAAATACAAACAATAAAAGACAGCGACATGGTTTGTGTCTCACGGGTAGCCCAAAGGTCGGGCTGTCCCAATCCTGAGTTTTGTTCTTCAGAATCCATTGCCCATGGCCGATCATAAGGCCCCAAACTACCTCTGATAGGAAGCAAAAAGGGGCGACTATACCTTGGCCTTCTGCAAGTGGCAGCCAAAAAGGCGTTGCTTTTCTCAGCGTTTGCTTGCCCATGTTTCAAGAGGACCCGCCGGAAACGACGCCACATTTTGCGTGGTTTCTGGGGTGCTTCCTGGTTTGGGGATTGAAGTGAAGCCCTATATGAACAGTTCTCCATGTTTACTTGATGGGTTTGGGCACGGCTCAACTGAGTTCAACCTCTGGTTGATGTGTGGTTGAGCAATTCCTGAGAACAAGGAAGTCGGCGCCAATGCCAAATTAGATGGTTTTCGGTTTCCTGTTGAGTTTCCTTTTTTTTACTCTGGGTTTTTTACCTTCGATTTATTCCAACAGTTGTTTCGTCTCCATTTAACTTTCCATCCCCACCCATCCCCCCCTCATCTTCCATCCCCCAACCCCTCCCCCCCCCCAACTCCTTCCCACCCATCCCCCAACCCCTCCCCCCCATCCATCTCCCACCCCCCCACCCACTTCCAAGGCGCTCAGTTGGCCAACATCCCGGGTCACCTCGCGGAGCTGCTGAAAGCACCCTTTGAGGCGACCTAGATCGGAGACCTGCGGATCATTTCCCCGTTTTCCGCATGGGTGTGGGTCAAAATTAAACCACCACAAATCCGCAGGTATTGGTCCATGTTTTCACTTACCAGGGATCCATTTGGGCACCTATTTTTGAGCCACAGCCACATGTTTTTTCTTGCAGGGAAGCGTTCAAGCCGAAAGACGACCGACAAAGGGCTGCTTCCCCTTCAAGACCTTTTCTCTGGAGCCGGGGAACCACAAGGCGGTTGGGGATACCTGGCAAACCAGGCTTTTCTGCCCCGAGCTGCATGGAAAAGGGAGGAATCGCCCTTCTGACCTATGGGGATCGTCCAGTGTTGTTTGGATTGTCCATAAAGGGGTTGGCAAAGGAAGGACGCACACACACGCACACACACAACGGCCAACCATTGGTGTCGTAGAAAGGATTCTTCGTTGCGACCATGCTGCGGAGCAACGCAATGGTCAAGGTGGTGTTGGTGCAATTTCCAAGATTACTCTAGTTCACAACAGTCATTATTTGGTGCCAGATTTCTGTTTCCTTTTTTTGGGCTGGTTCCTCAACCGAGAGGCCAGTCTAAAGGGGCCTGGTGGGTGGACAGAATCCTCCACCCATTGGAATGGATGAATCCGTTTACTGGGATATTGCACCTCACCGGTTTTAAGCACATCAGTACTGCGCCCGCTGCGCCCTCGCAGATCCTGAACTACGTCTCCAGTGTGATCATGGCTCGCAGGTGGGCGAGCCCTGAGCCTGGCGAGTCGTTTGGTGCTCCTTCTCTGGAGTCTCCAAAACTATCCTTCAAGTTGTTCAGGTAGAGTTGCTGATATGAAGTAGAATCGGACCATGGTATTTCTATGTACTTCTTGTGTAGTTCATGGGCCAAGTTCGGGGGAAAGAGGACAAGGATCGAATCCGCTCATTTCGGGTTAGTTCCCCTCAAAGTCGCACTAATGTTAACCCCGGATTAATAAACCCCTGGTGGATTTTGATTGGGGGGGTCCCCTTTCAGTAGTTGGATTCAGACCACTTTTGGAGGGGTTTTCACCCTAAGAATGGGACGGGTCTATTAATCCTGCGTCAACATTAGTGAACGTCGAGTTGGTGCTTGCGATGTATTGCTCCAGATTGGACTAGGTTTCGTTTTTCAGGTGGCTGGTTTCGTTTGTTGTTTGTCCCTTTGAAACCGGCAATCGACCCATGGGTCAACATGGGTGTTTCTCAACAGCAAATCGGTGGCGTCCGCCGGGTTGCGCCAGGCAGCGCAAGGATGGCGGCTTGCCGCTGATGCCGGACGCCGTGATCCCCTTCAGCAGCGAGGAGTCCGAATTTGGGCGGGAATGGCCATTCCCAGGGCGAAATGGATGTGGTTGTCAAACCGTTTTGGGATCCCATTTTGGGGGATTGGTGAATTCACCACCCATTTTAGAACCTATTTTAGTGGGGATTGGGATGTTCACTGGGAGTACAGGACTTTGACCCATGTCTAAATAGAGGCCCACAAAATTTGGATTTTTCCTTGGCGTTCCATTTAAACCACCAGGTACCCCGGAAAGAAACACAGCCTCACGGAAACGATAGTTGTCGTCACCAAGCCTATAGAATGATAAGACGTCGTCAACAATATTGAAGCCTTTAAGGAACACTAAAGTTTCGCCCTCAGCAAAAAGTCCTCAGCTTTTCAGAGGCCTAAGGATCTGTTTCTGAAAAGGGTGTCATTAATGGTTGCCATCATGCGAGCCCCAGGGAAAACCTGGGTAGATGAATGTTACTAGCCCCAAGTAAGTCAGGCAGAACCGGTGCGGATAATACGCCCGTTTGATGGAGTACCTCGGGGTTGGGTAGAGTCCTTGAGCTCTCGGTTTTGCTTGTGACTCATATGGTCATATGGGTGTTTATCACATTGGCCCCTTTTCGGATGGTAAGGGGAAACCAAAAAGACGCCCAGCACCTGAAGAAATTCCCAGTTTTGAGAAACGAAGGCGGCTTTGGCAGTTTGGGATCCCTTCAGCCGGCTGCGATCCGCGCAAAATCGCATCACTGCGCTTGCGTTAAAGGGAAGCCCAAACAAGATGATGCCAATTGTTGGCTCCCTTCATGTGGTCTGTTCCTTTTTGGATGTCTCAAGGGAAACCTAAAAGGAAACCAACCATGATTGATATTCCTTTTTGTTGGAATCGCCAATGTGAGGAGAAACATCTTCACTTCGCATTTCAGACTCCAGCTATCTCATTCATGGTGAGCTCTCGTGAAAAACAAGGCGAACCACGGTCATCACCAAACTCAACTAATTAGACGGTTCGCATGTGTGCCCTTGGTTTCTTCCATGTGTCCCACAAGAGTTCACTTGTTGCAGGTGTAAGTCTATGATTGTACAACATAGTTTTAGGGCTACTGTGTGATACTTTAAGGGAATCTTTGCAACTTAATATGCATGGTCATCAGAATGGCCCGCATCGGGTAAATGTCCAATGTGTAAGTTTGGTCAAGTTGTCTTTTTGGGGGTGAGTGAGGCTTCCAAGCCTTAAATTCTAAGAAACCCTAGAGGCCCTAGAGGTTCCCCAGGGCTCGCGTTTATCCACTCTACCCCCGCTACTGTTCCCATACGTTTTTGGCTCTTGGCGCCAAGGGGCCAGCTCTTTGGGAGGAGCTCCGGGATTTTGGCGCGGACAAGCTGATTCTGGCCCTGTCCAGCGCGCGGGGGCGTCCAATCGGATCACGTCTGTTGCGTCCGAAGCAACCGGATCCGTTGAAGGTGCTGCATTGTGAGGGGTTCTTAAACTTGCTTCGGTGGGAGGGGGCTTGCTGTAAATCATTTAGAGGCCAACTTTGACTTTTTAGGCACCTTCACAAACGGTTCTCCTTCCTATACTGTTGGAATCCTAGTTTAAACAGAGCAAACGCATCCTGAAGTAAAGAGACCTCCAAACTTTTCCCCTTGCCAGCCAGATACCCTCGCCAACATAGAACCTGCCTGGAGGTTGGAAAGCCGCTTTCCTCTTAGCTTTCTAGTTGAGTTTTCACTTGATTGACCTTTCCATCCCTCAGTTTTTGTCCTGCAGGTTTTGATTTGGAGGGCTATCCTCCCACAACCCCGTCGTTGTGAGCCTTTTAGATGGGGCCCTTTGTCAGGCGTTTTAGTTTGCTTCTGTCATGGAGGAGAGCACCTTAGGCCCTTGGGACCTGGGCGTCTGCAAGCTGTTGACACATTGCCCCTTTTGAGGCATGTCTACCCCAAACAACGGACGGGGGTGGGGTCTCAACAAGGTATTCCTTCTTTGGCACCTGAGCAACTTCCAACTGATTCCCATGTTGATTGTTGGTTGACAATCAACGGGCTCAACCCAACCAAAGGAAGAAACAGATCAACAAAAGCCATGGGGCCATGTTGAATCCACCAAATCCCAGAAAAAGCAACATCTTGTTTGATCTCAGGCACTCGGATTCGCTGATGGTTGATTTTGCCCTCGTCCCGCGCTTAGGCCCAAGCTCTTCGCCCTGCAAGCCACCACCTCCGAAGTGGTCTGGCCACTCTCGGCACGTCTTTTTCCGGTGTTGGCTCGTCATTGAAAAGTCGAACGCCGAGCCTCAACCCACCCACACTAGATCAACAGGTTACACCGTGTATACACCACTACCTTCATTGGAGGGCAATTTTCAGCGGATTTGTTTGCTTTTCTTCGGGCCGGCTTTTTGCATTTGGCTTTCTGCGAGACCCAACCTAGGCCTATCCTAAACCACCACTAAGCCTACTCCAATCCACAACTAAGCCCACCGTAAGTACAACTCACCCAACCTCAAACCAAGCCTGAACCTGCCCTAAACCAACCGCCGAGCCTAGGGCGAAAACACCCGACGAACCTGGGAATTCCTTAAGCCCTTCCGCCGTTCATCGGCTGAACGGTCAATTTCCCTACTAACGGGTGCCTTTCAAATCACCTGTATTTGCCAAGGTGATTTTCCCTGGGCAGGGTTGATGGTTTAAGGGCAAGCATAGGGGCTCAATCCAATGTACTTGCTTGAAAGATGGCACAACTTTTGTCATGGATGGTAAGTGAAGGGGATGACTAAACCAAAATTGGGGGTGGGATTGTGCCTACTTTCAACCAGCTGTGCCACATGTAAATTGGGTCAGGGGCAATCGCAAGGCCTGGCGCACCGCTTTTGCTGGATATCTCAAAAATTGAAGACCCCAGTAGCTTTCGGTTTCACATACCCACCGCAAAAAGGCCTTGTCCTAGAGCTATCACTTGGGATCATTTCTGCAGAAAGTGCGTGACTGAGCAACTCTGAGAAACCAGAATGATGGAGGTGTAATTGTCCAAGGTGAATTCAACAACCCTGAGACTCTAGGGAGATTGATGTGTGCCCCGGTTAAAGAACCTTTTGGGTGATCTAAACATCACTCCTGCTGCCTTTTGCAGATGTTTTTTCTTTTGGGGGGGGCGGGTGATGCTTCAGGGGGACACATCTGTGCAATGACCACAGGGCCTGCGCATTTGGAGTGCGATCAGCAGCCCATGGCTTTGGCAAGGGCTTTGGCAGATGCCCTTCGGAGTTTGACTATTTGGGCAAGCCCCAAAATCTAACACCCAGCTGCGAAAAGAACATCGGGCACCGCTTGGTTTTGATACCCTCCCAATATGGCACATGACTGGGTGGAAGACGTTCCTCAAAACGGGATTGATTGTTTCCACGCTAGTGGAAGGAAGGATAGCGGAACATCAGGTTTTTACCAACCCATTTTGAGCAGCCCCGCCTCCCGCAGAATCCCTCGACAGGGTGTCATCCCCTGGTCTGTCTCTCTCACAGAATGCGCGCAGCTCAATGGCTGGGAGGTTCACAACTTTCCCAACCGCACAGAGCGAACCCACCAAACGGCACCTATGAACACCCAAATTAGCAACTCAGCCAGCACCGGACCACCACGCAGCAGCGCACCGGTGCCGCAAAAAAATCTAGAGATTTTGATCATGGGGATGATTAATCCTGGGCTCCCACTAGGATTCAATCCTTCAACCAGCAGAGAAATACTGTAAACTTGCTGGTTCTCACCAAATGAGGGAAGGACCCTTACGACTTTTCCTTGCGATTTGCTTTGAGGTTCATTCCCAAAACCCAAACTGAGAACCAAGGAGCCCCTATGCAAAGAACCGGCTGGTGAGCAGCTTGCCAGGACCAAGTACCTGGGCATCGACCCCAAGTGCTCGGAGCAGAAGCCAGGTGCGAGGGGGCCAGACACCTTCGCCTCAGGAAGGCTTCACCCCAGTTAGGTGCGGTTGGTTGGTTGGTTGGTTGGTGGGTGGGTGCGTGGGTGGGTGGGTGGGTGGGTGGGTGGGTGGGTGGGTGGGTGGGTTGGTTGGTTGGTTGCTTTTTTTGGATTGTTGGTTGGTTTGTTTGGTTGGCTGCTTGCTTGCTTCGAAATTTGTGATTCAATAATCTTTTGGAGTGATGCTTAAAGGGGACATATGTGCTGTAGTCGAACGGCCGTTTCCTTTATTTGGGATTGGTAGGGATGGTCCTCAGCCCCAGACCAGGTGATTTCAGACATGATAAGGCATCCCGTACAGGCATCCCTGTTGAGCAAAGCAATACCCACTGACCAAGCTGAACAGTTAAACCTCGCAAGATCAAGCACAAAAGCTGCCAGGGGCGACGACAGAGCAGAAAACGCCATCCGGGAACTTGCTGTCCTGCAAGCAACACCTCCCCATGGTCAAGAGTTCAATCCATGGGGCATCCTCTGAAATGAAATTCAGCTTGAAATGCTGATCATGGCTTGTTTAAACCTGGCAGATTGGTCAACTTTCACACCATCCAAAAGACTTGGGTCCAGGCAAAACAACTCTTGAGTGAGTTGCACGAGAAGAGGACAAAATCAGCTGAAAGCTGGAGATGCCACTCTGATTTCAAAACAAAACATCCGAACGATGAGTACACACCGAGAAGAGAGACACACTGCTAACACCCTTGTCATCGTCGTCTTGTGCCGAGCTGAATATGACAATTTTAGATTCTGTGCAATAAGAAAGTGAGCCTCAAAAGGCAAACGGATGTCAAGAGCGGTTCCAGTCGCATTCCTCCCTTCGGTTTTCGCGTTCAGCGAGTGGTCCGAGTGATCCACGCAGGAAACTGCAGGGATCAGATCGAACCCTCGCTAAATCCTTCCAAAGGGAAGCTGGCCCGATGGAAGGTCCATTTGAGCCTTTGGCCGTTGTTCATTCTGATTGGACAAGGGGTTTAAATAGAGGAACCCCCAAGATGGCTGGTTGTCCTTTTGGCTTCCCCTTCAAGTTACCCCTAAAGGGGTACCCACAAACCAAACCACAAACACACGGATCCCTTTTCATTTTCGATGTTAGCTTTACCTGTGGCCTGGTTCTCGCAAGAACGCTGTGCGTCTTACTATGCAGCATAGAAGCTCTAATATTGGCAAGGTACTATCGACCTGGGTGGTCATGGCAAATCTTAGCCAGGCACTGGCATTGACCCCTGCACAGCCTGGATGCAGTCTGACACTCAGCCGCCCAATTCGGGGGTGGGGTCTCTAAACCCGTTTTATATTTTAGGGTAGACACCAATCCCCACGCCAAAGACTCCCCTATTAAGATTCACATGGCTGTGTGTCAAAACCAAGAGTACCATTTTGGGGTAGGTGTACCACCCATTTTAGTCTATTTGAGTGGGGATTGAGATATTCACTGGGGGTACGGGATTTTGACCCATGGCCATGAAGCCCGTGAAGTGGACATGAGCCAACTTCGGTTGGCCATCGAGGCTCCACTTTCTCAGTCCATGTGGGTCATACCTTGTCGATACACCAAACCCTGGTCGAATGCCCCATAAAACGTCTCGGAATCGGTCACTAGCGGAATCATGGTCAAGATCATACCTAGACAAGCCTGTCTTTCCACAGCCATACTCCACGAGGCTCTTATGCAATGACTTGTCCATCCATACTATGCAATGGGCGTTATGCCATTTAACGGCTTCCCCCTTTCATGCTGCGACGATCGCAGGACCTCTGATTAGTGCTGTCATTCCCGTCTGCAAGAAGCGGTGCTGGGTTGAAACGCGTTTGTGGTCTTTGAGCAAGGAAGGAACGGATGAAAAGCAACAAAACACAAATCGAAATGGCAAAGCTGTTTCTGGCTTCGGTTGGTTTGATGATGCTTTGCTAGTGTGTGTGTGTGTGTGGGTGTTCGCTGTGTTTGTGTATGTGCTATTTCAGAGTTCCGGCTCCGGGGGTTTTTGATTGTTTGTTTGTTGACTTGTGTTTGCTCGACAATTTGCTATGCTTCCTTCGCTGCGTGTTTCCCGTTGCCAGTCAGTTTCCAGAAGTTTGGCTCGCAGACGCCCATTTCAGTCCAACATCCGAATCCAAATAGCGAACCAGGTTCGAGTTGCATTGCGCAGGGCTTGTTGTCTTGACGTACCACTCTTCTTGAGGGAACTAAAAGCCCCAGTGATTCTCAAAGGCCTATATGATATAAGTGATCCATCGGTCCAAAAGCGGGCTTTCCTAGTGTTTTGTTTCGGCAAAGCAACAACTTTAGACTTCTTTTGGCCACTATTCAAGAATAGGTCCAGCTAAGTCCATGTGACTAGCATGCGTATGCTACTTTGCTCCATCCGCTTCTTTGCACATGAGCAATGTCTTGGAATAGACCCCCCAACAATGGTGGTTCCCTTTGGTCTGCCATCAGACAAAAAAGGGGAAAGAAAAGAAGAAGAACAACAAAAACGGGGAACCGACTCCGAAGAGGACACCCACGTGCCGTGAAATCGAGCCCCGAGGCTGCTGCCATCGAGCGCGTCTCCACACGCAGAGCTGGTGGTGATGACCTCGGGGAAGTTCCAGCGAGCTCAGCTGGGAATACGAGGAGCTCAGCCATGCTTTTGCCCAGAAGTCTGGGCATTGGTTTGCAGGGCATGAACAGGGTTGCTCCGAGCCTCTTGATCGAAATCCAGTAGAGAGTTGGCAGAATTGGTGCGGTGTTGCTGACCAAAATTCGACCCTGAGGATTTCGCAGCCCTGAAGGGGCCTAAGCAATCGGAATGGGTTTGGGTACTTTAAAATCATCATCACGATCATAAGAGAACACTGTGTGCAAAAATTCAGTTTTTGTTGCAGGCCAAGTGCCTGTGGCATCGCAACCTTTGGACTTTTGCATTGCCAGCGTGGCGACTCAGGTGATCGCACCAAAGACGGCCACAAAGCCGCAGAAGGTGATGTGGATGGACCCGCTGACAGGCGCCCATACGGGGCGTTGAGTGTTCTGGCCCAATGGTGTGAAGCCTTCTAAGGCTCTTTTCCCCCCATAGAAATTAAGACAGGAGTCCCGAATCTAGGGAGTCGCTCAATTTCGTCAAAGATCGGCCCCGGTTTTGGTGAATCCTAAAAGACACAATACCAACTACACCACTAATTAATATTTCCCGAAACAGGGTTGTTGGCAACTTGGAGATCGAAAGCTGCCTTCAGGTGACCAACCTGGGGCTAAAATGGAGACCGGGATTGCGGCGAGGCTAGGGAGGAAACGAAACGACTCAGGCTCGTTTCGCATGAGCCATGAGATAAACCTCTGGTTCAACAGAGGGTATCAATCTTTCCCGCCCCATGTCGCCTCCGTTTCTCTTCTTTGGGATATCCTTTCAAGTCGACCAACAGAAACAGAGTGGCTGGTGTGTTTTCGATGGAAAGCCGCTGTTTGCAACTTGACCTGGAGGAGTTTGACCGTGGGAGGGGGTGATTCCCCCTAATCATTTAATCGTTGCATGATATTCTGTTAGGGGGAAGGCCCTTTTGCGGAACCCGTCATAACGCACAGTTAGTGCCACCTTCACTTAGGGTCTTTCAATCTCCAACTTGTTTGGATATCTGAAAACTGCAGTTGCCTTGCAACCAGCGATTCTCGACGTTCAGAGGAAAACTCCTGGTTGAGTTGGTCACAAGAGTGCAATTTTCCCAAGGTGCCTCGCTTTGAACCAGGTCTAGCAGCGATCATGTCAATACGTAAAAGGCATCCTTTGTAAGGGACGTCCCTTACCTCCGACATTTCAGAGGGTTTTTTGGCTCACTCCTCTTTGGGGGACCCCCCAAATTAAGCGCGCACACACAACACACATCATTCTTTGGGGGAGACTAAAATGAGCCAAAACTGGAGCTGTGTGGTGGGTAGCCGATTTATGCGTGGCCCACGTTGCTAGTCCACCTGTCGACAGGCAAAGTGCTCCACGAAGAGAGTATGCCGAATGACATCACTGCCGCTCGCTTGTGGCAAGCGGATTCAGGGGAATCATCCAACATTGAAATGCCTCTAAAGGGAAACACATCGGAAATCAACAGGAAACCGAGGACGTAACGGACAATTTTGCAATAGGTCTATTGGTTGTGTTTGTTTGTTGTATTGTTTTGCTTTGTGTGGGTGTGTCAAGAATCCAATACAACAGGTCATTGAGAACTGAGCAACTCGCACATATCTATGCTCCTGTTTGCGGTTGGTTGATGTTTTGGCGGTCCTCTGCGTAGCCCGGTTTGAAGGATGATGCCAACACAGCCTTTGCCGTAGCTGCTTTGCAGAATGAATATCCCACACGCCAACGTGGAACTGTTAGCCCACACCCTCAGTTTCCACATTAGAAGGGAGTCTCGAACACGTCATAGCAATTTAGCATGAATTTATGTAGTGTGGGCATTAACTTTTTTGGAGACCCGTTTGGGTGGGGATTCATGTCCACCAGCCACTTTTGAGGTCATTCCCTGTTATCGCTGTTTACTGCTTAGTTGCTGATGGACGGAGCGATCCTTCCAGAGTATTTGGGTTGTGGCTTTCTGTTGTGTAACAATGGTTTGTGAAGGTATGACAAGAGCTGAGCCATGCTGCGGGGATGTTGAACGATGTTGGCTTGATAGAGCTCAAAGACCCAACGGTGAGTATGAGGGGTTCTCCCACACAATGTATCTAAGACTCGACTCTTCAGCCAATCAGAAACGGTATGTAGACCGTTTCGGGTCCGGTATCCGGCGCCGATTGGAGCTTCCCGATCCAAGGCTGTGACGCCTTTGCCGCACAAAGGCGCTTCGGCGATGCGTCGCGACCCAGACATGGGGGCTGGCGTCAGCTTCCCTTGCGTTGGGGGTTCCGCTTTGGGGTGGTTTGGGGAAAAATTATTGGGAAGCCAACAATTTGGGGGCCCCATGTTGACACATACCCCTCCCACGAACATGGCACCTGAAAGAGGGGCACTTGAAGAGGAAGTTAATCTTGCAGGTGCCATGTTAGTCGGAGGAAGGGTGCCCAGTTGGTGTCCTTGAAGATGTCTCAAAACGATTAGCTTAAAGCTAGGTCCTTGCGTATATATACACATAAATGTATTCCTTTTTCACGGGTGATTTAAGCATTTGTGGATTTCGGAGGAGCTCCCTTTTGGTGAGGGATGAAGGCATGTTCGTGGAACATGGATGGTTAGGGCCATTCTGTAATAAGCCAATTTTCTTAAACATGACAAAGTAGTCATAGGGATCCGCCATTTTGGTATCACTTGTGAGATATTTTCTACAACCATGAGTTTCAAGGGAACACATGTGACCTTCGCCAGGCAAGAATCTGGTGACTCATCCGCTGCTGCTGATAGACAGCATGGCCCTCAGAGATGGGGAGCGGGACCGCCGGGCAAGAAAGCCTGAAGCCTCAGTAACGCCATAGTATGTATCAAAAGAGGAGGATCCCCCAAAGTGGTGGTGTTCCTTTCAGCTTCCCTTTGTACCAGCCCCAAAAAGGGTTCCCTCAAACAAACACACACACACACACACCATATGTCATCACGGCCTGCAGCGCGAGCTCCGGATCTTTTGTCGGCACTTTTTGGAGATGAGATCAGCTTTGCGTGGTCCTCAGCCCTAGCCACCAGAATGGTTTTCAGAACCCTTCGAAGAAGCCCTTCAATTAGAAGGTCCTAGCCCTTGGGTCGTGTGGGGGCCCTAGGTTTTTCCCCTACTCCAGAGAGAGTTTCTATGGACATCCGCCTGGCGAAGTGGAGAGCGAAGCTGTCGGCCCATCTTTGGCCTTCCCATGTCCCATGTGGCTTCCTACACTCGAACTGCTTCCTTTCAATTTCCACTTCAACTCCATTTTAACAGAAGTACGTAGTACAAACTGGTTCCTGCTGGTTTCCTTTTGAAAACCATTTCGAAAGAAGTGTCCAATCTTGGGGACACACTCATGTTCGCTGGATTTCAGAACATGTCCTACTTGCTGGGCCTTGTTCGCCCAAGCACGGGCCACGGGAGACTCGCCGAGGCAAGGGTGGGTTGCAGACCTTGCCCAAGGATGCAACTGAGCTCCAGGAGAGGAACGCCTCAGAGTCACAATCACAACCCAAGCAAGTTAAGGTTATAGGACAGACGCCATAAATTGGTGGCGCCGCCCTCTACATTGGGTATACACCTTGCGTACCAGGTGTTTTTAATTGTGGCTCACTTGGGTTGGCTTTGCGAGGCTCGGTGTACCCCTATTTCAGCTTTGGTTTGAAGGGAAACCAAAAGGCAGACCAAACCAACATTTGTGGGGTTTCCCTATTTGGACACAACCCCACCTACCCACTGAACTTTATAGTTGTTTGTATAGGCAAGATAGTATGTTGGTCGGAAAGAATCATTGCACGTTGTGTCGGCCTATCCACTGAGGGAGGGAGGTTCAGTTGGACCAGTTGTTCAAGTATGTTTTTGTTGGATGTGTGTGCATGTCTTTGCTTGTTTGTTTGTTTGTTTGTTTGTTTGTTTGTTTGTTTGTTTTTGGTGTGCTTGATTTTGTTTGTGGTCTTTGGATCCTGTATCCACCTAAAACCAAGGCCAAGCCAAATTGTTTTCAACATGGTGGACTCGTGGACCCCTTTCGGGGCGGTTCTACAGGGACACCAAAAGGAAACAACCCATTTTGGGTTCCTCTATGTTCAGAGCCACTCATATGGAGAGCCTTGCTATGGGACAAAACCATGTTTGTCGACCGATCAAAAGTTCTCAACGCCAATCGCTCTTCTAAATGCCAGAATCTCGACTGAGGAACTCTTTGGGCAAATTGCGAGGTCACCGACCAGGGTAAAACGAGCTTACCCATGAACACTCTTGGGGATTCCTCATGCCCGGTGTTGTGAAGTGTAGAAGTTTGCCCAGACTGCGCTGGTTTCATCATTTTAGTTGGCGCAAACACTCTGGACCGCTGAGCATCCCGTTCTCCCTTTGGGCTTGCCGCGTGGTTCGGCTAAGATCGCCAGCATATGTCCATTTGTGGGGAGCGTTGGGGCATTGGGCGGGGGGCGGGGGACTTGCGAAAATTGCCAAAATCGCAGGGGGGAGCGGCGATGACTCATATTCCCATGCTGCCGCCCAAAAAATGGCGAATGTTCCCATGATCTTTGCAGCAAAGGGGGCAACCATGCGCCGTCTGCCTTTGTCCCAGGAGGCTGCAGGGAATCTCTTCCACTACGAGGTGGATACCGTGAACCAGGCGCAAGTCGGCGGAGGGCGGACCTATGGCTAGCGCACCGATTCGGGGTGAAAACGATGGAAGCCGGGTTATTTGCTTGGGATGAATTTTATTTTGCGTGTTGGAATTATTGAACCCTGGTGAAACAGAAAGGGTGTTTCCCACCAAAAGGATGCCCTCAAAAGATGAGACACCAACGTAAAACAAAACAACCAGGAGTTGATAAATTATGGGTTCCAATCAAACTCAAGTTTCCAATAAAACCTATATTCTGCGTCGGAACCGCATCGACCCAATACTTTCTTTTGAACCACCCCCAAGCCTCAAAAAGGGTACCCTCAAAAGCACAACAGGCAGACAGACAGAGACAGAGATAGAGTCGGAGACAGAGATAGACAGCCAGACACACAGACAGGCAGGACAGACAGACAGACAGACAGACAGACAGACAGACAGACAGACAGACAGACAGACAGACAGACAGACAGACAGACAGACAGACAGACAGACAGACAGACAGACAGACAGACAGACAGACAGACAGACAGACAGACAGACAGACAGACAGACAGACAGACAGACAGACAGACAGACAGACAGACAGACAGACAGACAGACAGACAGACAGACAGACAGACAGACAGACAGACAGACAGACAGACAGACAGACAGACAGACAGACAGACAGACAGACAGACAGACAGACAGACAGACAGACGCAGGCAAGCAAACGCGCGAACTCTCAAACATGCAAGCACAGAAACGCAAACACTTGATATGACTTAGGAAAAGCAAAGAGTCGACTTCCTCGCTGTTTTCCCCCAGGCTTGTTTGTTTTCCCCGCACGTTGTTTTCCCGACATCCCTGTGTTTCCAACCCCACGTTCCGTTGTTGACCTCCATTTTCCTTTTGGTTTGGGAGCAACAAAAAAACGAGTGGGTGTGAAGGAGCCGGCTGGCTGATTGGACCCTTTGAGCACGCCCTAACCATCCCATGCCTATTCCTTTCATAGGGGTCCGGTATATGCTCAAAAGACATGTTGGAGGGTTCTCTGCACTTGAAGAAACCAAGCTGACTCTGTTTGCCATAGGGTTTGCGTCCAGTTGATTCCTTTGTTCACCTACGCTTCTGCAAATCAACATGGAAGCCCCACGCAAGACACCTTGTTTTGCAGTGGACCCCCTTTTGAAGAACAGCCTGAGCTTTCCATGTTAATGTTCACCCAGGATGTGGGTTTTCTCGTCGGCAGTATTGAGACCCAAAGGTACCTTTAAACAACAGAGGGGGAGGCCTTGTTTTAATGGCCCCCCAAAACTAGTGCCCGCGCTTTGGCTTCCTTATGTGTTTCGCCTGGTGCGAAAGGTGCGGGGGGACAAGCCTCCGTTACGCTCTTGCACGTTAAGATGAAGCCGAGAATCTTGCAGTTTTCAGAAGGCCATGGGTCAAACTCCCGTACCCTCAGTGAACACCCCAATCCCCACTAAAATAAACTAACATGGGTGGTGCACCTACCCCAAAATTGTACCATTGGTTTTGACCCACAGCCAGAAGAGTATGGGCTGGCAGTGCTTGGTCGCTGCGGCTCCATGGTCAACAGCTGCATTTGATTGGTGCTCCAACCATGTTTTTCACCTTTCCAGTCATGTCACCTGCGGTAGAGTTAGGATAAATAGTAACATTCCAGTTGACCAAGCCTGAAGCAAGCAAGAGAATGGATGAAGCATGCATACCTACCTATTTGGTGTTGTTTTAAGGGGCCCATTTCCGGGTTTGACCCAAAGAAGGAAAGCCAGCCTTGTGTTTTGGGCTCGCATTTTTGACGCAGACCTACGCAGTTCGTGAGCTCCACCTCGGCAGGTCATCAAGGGCTTCGCAGTGCCCAAGGCAAAGAGGCGCTCCGCTTGGGCCGAAGGGTCGTTTGGTCGTTTGGGCGGTTCCATTGGGTGGCTCCGTTTTGGAGGTGGGCAGCCAAACTGGAAAGCCACCAAAAAACATGGGGGAGCTCTTTTGGTTTGCACTTTGACACATACCCATTTGCTGGATTGGTGTGTTTCAAGACTTTCCTCACCAGAAAAGGACCTGGCCAGAGTCATGACAGGCAAATAGAATATCTGTTCGTTGCGCCTGAAGCCCGTGGAAGGGTCATTTGCCTGTATCTCTGTGAGAAACTTCCCAGGCCCCCTGACAGGGCACGGCCAATCCGAATAGGAACCACCAAGTAGCCACTGGGGTTATGATGTGACCAGTCTTTGGAGTGGGGCCCTGACATCCATCGGATGTTTGGTTTTTCGTGCTCGGTTTGCCTGACAGTTCTGCGAGTCATTTCATAGTGGGGTTGGAAAAGCTCTATGGCTTCCTGAGGAGCCTGACCAGGGTTGGCCTCCCTGAGTAGATGTGGGAATGTATTTGTGTTCTGGGAATCCTCTGCTTCGGGGATTTTGTTGGAAAAGGTTGGGATCCCCTCTTTTTAAAACCCATATCTTCAAACCACTGTCGGTTTTTCACAACCTCCTTTTGATTTCCGTTCAAACGGCATCCAAAAGTGCCTATTCTATGGTGTGAAACGAGCTCAATATGAAGGCCCTTTACTTGGGGATCCCTTAAATCCGCAGAGATCAGGTGTTGGAATTGTTGAATCCGCAGATCGGAGTCTTGTTGTTTGAACACATGTTGCCCAACCATCCCCGAGAAATCAGTTTGGACCACGGCACAGCTGCGGGCCGTGAAACAGCCTGATGAACGTTCCGCAAAACTGCAGAGACGTCTCATGGTTGGGCGCTTGCTTTTCAGAGGGGTTTCTTCCAGGTGCTTTGGGCCAGTGAGGGAAGTCCAACATGCCGCAAATTTGCTTCTCCAGGTTGCACTCCCCTTTGTGATGGGGATTGCCGCAAGACCGATGTAAAGCTTCAGGTAAATCTTCAGCACGGTCGGGGTAGAATCCCAAATCGATGCGTTTTGGGCGCTGCTCAACTGGGTTTCGCCCCTCGCAGGCCCAGCAAGCTGATGGCAACATGGAACATGGAGCCCGCGCCCCTGCCGTGACTGCAGAAGCTGCGTTCCCCCGAGCAAGTCACGGAGAGAGGCTATGTCCGAGAGTAAGTACGGTGCGCTTTCGATTCATGGGAACACTCGAATTAGAGGTGTAGCAATGAAGCCACATGAAAGGCTCACCCGCTCGAGTTCATCCCGCTATCAATTGCACACGCATGCATCCGCATAAGCAATAGACATTGAAGAACCAAACAGGCCCAGAAGGTCTTTATGTTTCAGCGCTGTGGATGTAGGTGCTCAATCAGTGGCTTGTCGTGCATGAACAGTTGTTCAAGCAATGCTTTTGTATTCATTGAAGGTGGTGGCTCCGACGTGTGGTCCACTGGCCCCAGTGCATGTCTTCGAAACTGCCTCTGGTTTTCCCGCGCGGACCAGGTTTCTGGGAATGCTGCGGGCTTGCCGGTTTTGGGTAGGGAATCTTATTTTTGGAAGGGGGTCATTCCCGTATTCTCTACCACAAACTAATCCGCAAGATTCACAGGGTTTGTCTCAACACGGGGAAAAACAATGTGGACGGTGTGAAGGAAAAGGAAAGCCAACGAAGAAAAGACCAGTTGCTGTAGTTGTCCAATTTCAGCCATATCCAACAGCAGGAATCAGTACGCGCTTGTGCTTTGGTCCATCAACAACACAAAGGTATAAGTAAAAGATGAATTATACATACACATGCATGTGTATGATATTTAAACATAGCAATGGTAATGCAAAGATACACGGCATATATCAGCTTGTTTCCCTGTAGGAACCACAGGGGACCGCGTGAACTGAGTCCCATCCCAGTCGGGTGCTGAGGGTTGGCTCGCTGGGGGAGCGCATCCTCGCGGCGGTGGGGGCGCTCAGGGGGGCTCCGAAAATGGGGTACCGGGGGTCCCTTGAAGCCAACCAAAAAGAATCCGGGCTCTCAAGAAACACCCGAGTCCAGATGGTTTCAAAAAGCACCTGAATCCAGATGAGTCAGAATCAAACACGAGTAGACGAAGGAAATAGTCCCAACCATAAATAGGTGCGGATATTTGCCACCTTGATTGTTTAATGTGTTTTGGGCAGACCCGCTTCCCGGATTTTTGTCAACACTCACTTGGTCGAAAGGGTTGTAACTACCACCCAGGCGTTTCTGTTTGTTTGCAGAGGTTTCCCTTTAACATCAACCACCGTCCTGTTTTAATGGCCACTGGGGGGTTGGGAACAAGGGCATGGCTTTTTGTGACCCTTTTGAGACCTCGCTGCAAAAGACTTGCATCTCCTTTGCCCTCTCCCTAGGCGACGCCGCAGCACCGACACTGGGACCACGTGCCGGTGCACATTAAAGGGGTCTCGCCCCAAGGGGGGCGTTTTGTCGGGCGGTCGTACTTCATGCCTTTTGCTTGTTCTGAGATCTCTTTTGCATATTCATGGACACTCCGAGGGGGGGGGTGGGGTTGGAGTCGGGGCAAATTTGGGATCTCTTTTGAACTATGTTGCATGATTGAACCCCGACAAGGGTCCTGCAAAAGAAGTGTGCTGTACAACGTTGGCTCGTTGGGTACCATGCCCCTTTGCAGAACAAATTCCGCTTCAGCAACCACGCCTCAGCAACTATGCATCAGAAACTACGGCTCAGCAACCAAGCAGCATGCACTTCAGAAACTTCGGCTCAGCAACCAAGAGCTCGTCCGCTTCGGCAACTTCGCCTCACAAACTATGCTTCAGAAACTACACTTCGGAAACAACACCTCCCGCTTCAGAAACGACGCTTCAGAAACTAAAATTATCTGCTCGCTTCAGCAACTGCATATTCCGCTCCAACAACCAACAAGGGGGAAACTACAGCTCTCTATGACGCTGGTGGGGAGTGGGTGGGGGGCGGGGGAAGTGGGTGGGGCTGGTGGGGGGTGGGGAGTGTGAGCGTTCATCACGAAGCAATGTGACCGCAGTTGAGTGTTCTGCAAAAATTGGGCGCACTGCGCTAAATGGAAAGCTAAAAAAGGGGAGGGAGGGAGGGAGGGAGGGAGGGAGGGAGGGGGGGGGGAGTGTTGGCGTTCATCGCGAGAGAACCTGCAGAAGCAACAACAAAAGTGGAAATTGCAGCAGAAGCATGAAAATGCTGCAGAGATGTTCAGGAGCACGCTGAAAGCGAGCCGGCGTGACCATGGCGAAAACTGAGCAGTTTCCTGTTGCTTTGGGATGATGATGAGTGTGACAACATGTAAACCATTTGGCCATAGATGCTTGTTTGCTTGCTTGCTTGCTTGCTTGCTTGCTAGCTTCCTTGCTTGCTTGCTTGCTTGCTTGCTTGCTTGCTTGCTTGCTTGCTTGCTTGCTTGCTTGCTGCCTGGCTGGCTTGCTTGCTTGCTGGCTTGCTTGCTTGCTGGCTTGCTTGCTTGCTGCCTGGCTGGCTTGCTTGCTTGCTGGCTTGCTTGCTTGCTGCCTGGCTGGCTTGCTGGCTGGCCTGCTGGCTGGCTTGCTGGCTGGCTAGCTTGCTTTCTGAAGCAAGGTTGGCCCAGGTTGGTTTCCGAAGCTTTGTTTTCAGATGCATGGTCTCCGAAGCAAGGGCCGGAAGCATAGTTTCCGAAGCAGTCAATGCATTTGCAGGAGAATAAACCCGCTAAACCCACGCAACGAGCGGTTTGGACGAGTCTTTCCGCAGTCGGATCTAGTATGAGTTTGTTCACACTCAAGCTGCATTGATGCCCGACGCAAAGCGACTTGCGGCTAGGTGGTTGTTCTCACAGCTGCACCCGCCCAGGATGCAAGCATCCTCTACAAGTACATCAATCCGAACTTCCTGGCGGTTGTGTCTGAGGAGTGGTGCGCGGTTGCCATTCAGTCAAGACATTCTGAACCTGGCAAGCATCGCCAGGACAAGAATGGGCTCAACCTGTATATGCTAGATGCTGTCACTGGTCATTTGCTTCATCAGAGCCTGGCGCTCAAGGCGTCGTGACAGCATGTGACAAGGACAGAGAGCGAGAGAGAGGGAGAGAGAGATCAATGAAAGCAGTCACATGCAGTCCTAAAGTAGATCGATCTGAGGAGACTCCCAACCTACAATGAGGAAGGGTCCGGCTCATGTGAGTGTGTTTTCTTCAAGGATCCGTTGGACATGGGGAGTCATGTCCACCACGTTGGAACCACGCAAAGTGTCCATTTGATTGCTGACCTACTCGCACATGTCTCTTCCTTTTTGGGCCCTAGCGAAACCATGCAACGCCTCATCATGCTGTTGCAATTGGCTTCTCCTTAAAACCACACCATCCAAATTGGGGCCGGGATTTCCGTTTGGCACCATTATATGTTACACACTATTCAATACGTACGTATCTATAAAAGTGTATCACGCGGCCGCACGGCATAGTCTTCAGTACGTACTTTGCATGTTATGGGTTACATCCTGTGCACATCTATGATATACGATATATTGCAAATGCAACGACAAGATGAACCCAGGGGAAATGGTGCATTCTCTAAGGTCAGGTGGCTGGAGGTGCTGGTCCTGTTCACCTGGCAGTCTGGGACACCCAGCGGTGATCTTTCACGCTTCGGGTCTTGGGGTCCTTGGCTGGGGACTCCTCCGAAGCATATGAGCCACTTGCTCAAAACCCGGGTAGATGAAGGTTAGCAAGGGACAATCCCAACCATAAATAGCTGCGGCCGCCTTCTGAATTCTTTACATGGTTTTGGGTCGACTATTTTAATACCAGGTTTAGATTATGACTCATATGTTGTTTTTTAGGGTAATGTGTCTGCTTTTAGGGGACCGCCAAAATGGTGGTTTGCCGATTGGTTTCCCTTTAAACCCACCAAAATAAAGGCGGACCCGTATGAAGCAGAATCAAAGTATGGTATTTGCTGTGTAGCCCAGATGTGCCAAGATATATCACGATAAAGAATACCTTCCCAAGTGGTTGGTGAACATAAATCTCCAAACAATGTCCACCAGAGGGTCCCCAGTTAGACTGCGCACCTTTGGAGGATACACCCAAACTCCAACTTTGAATACACATCCTCTCAGCTGCCAAAAGACATGTTGATGGCTCAAATATATATCCTTTAAGGGACCCGGTTCGCGGGTGGTGAATGTGTGGTCGGTGGTTTCTGGTGAGTTATGTGCTGAAAATACGGTTGCGCGATGTTATTTCAATTTTCGATGGGTTCTACTGGCCCAATGGGCTGCTTCCGTTCTGCAGAGCTCCCTAACTCCCCATGCAAGGCCTTAAACATTACCTTCTGGCCCATTTGAGGTGACGCTTTCAGGGGAACTATTGAACCAAGTGTTTTCCCTGTTGGTAAGACATATTTTAAGATTCAGATACCCAAAGACGGGTGCATTTTCTATTCATGGCCAATGGGACTTGGGTGTGTCTCATGCACTGGACCCCAGCATGGGGTAGGTTTGTGCTTTTTGCCTGAAAATGAGTGACTTCCTGTTGGTTCCCAGCCAAAGGGCAACCTATATAGAGGGGAGATCCCTGACAAAGACGACGCCCTGATTTGCCCCAGAGTTTTGGAAGGCCTGGTGCTTGGCCACACGAGTTTCCAAACGGGCTTTGGGTTTTGGACGTTTGGTTTTTTTTCTCAGATGGGGACCAGGCCTTGATTTGGTGTCCAAATAGGGCAGAATGGTGTGTTTCCTGTGGGCTTAGTTTTAAACCCGAAATGAGTAGCTTCAAAAATACGGCCATTTTGGAATTTGAGGGAATTGCTTGCTTATGGTTCGGGAAGCACCTGGATAGCCTTTGATGGAGGCTCAGCTTGAGAACCTGCCGGTGCGACATTGAGATTTTGAGTTTGAAGGTTTTATTCAATGGGAAAGCGGGCTGCTCGGGAGCCGCTTTGGCAGGTGTTAAAGGGAATCCCTAACGGGAAGCAACACAGTTTGGGGCCCCTCATTCTGACATTCTGAGACAAGTGACACCGAGACACGCACAATTCCCTTTCTGTTGGGAGATCATTTTCACCAAAGTGTCACGGCCATTTGGGGGCAGCGCCAGCTTTTGAGCAAGTGAAGAAATGAGTGATTCCCACAAATCAGGGGATCCGATTTACCAGTGTTCTCTTCAGAGAGCATCCAGCCAATTTTGGGGACCCAACATGTACTCTGTTGATGTTGTTCCTGGGCTTTTGGTGGCCCAAAGTCGTGAGTGGCGTGCGTTTTCCCTTCTATTCTAACCTCTCTACTGGAGGACCTAGCCTTTGTTTTTGTTTTGGTTTTGTCTGTAAGGGCCTGGCTTCAGGCCTGTGACAACTGGGTGGTCATGCACTACCAGAACCCCAAGAAGCCGCGCGCTCATCGAGTCATCGAGTCAACGGGGTGTGGGGCCGACGTGTGCCATGGTCAAACGACGCTATTCCCTCGGGCCGGGTGATTTGGGTGTGGCTCAAATTAAACAGGAGGGGTTATGCAGGTTTCGGTCCATGTTGCCACTGACCAGGGTTCCATTTTGGTACCGGTTTTTTGAGCCACGGCCATTTTGTCGATGATTGCACTAGTCTTTTGCTTCGAAGTAAAGTAAGAACAGGAGGTGAAGTGCTTTGGACGCATGAAGCACCTGTGCGGGGAGGCTTTTGGATCCCAAGATAGCTTCTCGTGGTAGATGGCCCTTCGTGGCTGCTCTGCCACAAAAATAGCCACGGCTTGATGTCTAAAGAAAGCGTGAGGGTATGGATGAGAAGCTGCATGCATTTGCGACATGCTCAGGACTCGTTTTGAGATGCTCGTGACAGAGTTCTTCCAAGCAAAGGCAGGGGTCCGAGCTGGCCAGGGACGCGCCACAGTTTCGTGCACCACCTTCGCGCTGAAAAGTTGCGACTTGTCAACTGGAGCTGCGGAAGTGCATGTGGTGTATAAATCTTAGCGCTGAAGGAAACTCGCGAGAGTTTCTCGGGTATCGCTGTCGGCAACTACCGGTGTACGGCGATGGTTCCACCAAAGATTCGCGAAGTAGCTCTTGTTCACGAGCAATGGCTGTACCGGGACAACCGAGTTGTCATCAAAGAGTCATTTGATGCGCTGGCCAGGCCGATGATGGACCATGGGAAATTCTCTTCGGCAAGCAGGACCGGGGGATCCGCAAACGTCCCGAATCACCGGCTACGGCGCTATCCAGCCCCATTTGTTCGTAACAGTTTAGGCCTTCCAACAACCTCCATATTGAGTTCTTGTGGAGTCGCTACAGGTACAGTAGTCTTCCTAGCTTCAGGAATGCACAAGCCGAACATGTGAACCCCAGTGTAGAAGGATGGGTAGTGTTCTCACAATAATCAATAGGGGCACTTCGGCCCTGCTTGAGAAAAACCACATTAGGTGTAGCAATCGATGGCAACGAACTGCCGTCCTAAACTCGCATTCAATGACTCTTGGCAGTCCACCTAGCCGCTGGAAGGTCTTCCCCACTGTTTCTCTCCGTTTGTTGGTTTGGACCAAAACCGTTTGGACAAGCCCCCAATCCCAACTTGTTCGAATCAGATGTTGCTTCATCCATAGTGGCGGTTACCAACACGAATGGTCTACAAAGCATCCAAACGCGTGTTTCGTCCATTTTCGTTTATCAAAACTGTCACAGGGGGTGCAGACCCGCAGCGCACACCAGCTGGAGCGGCCGGCCTGGATCGCCCAGCAAGCTGACCGTCTGGGAGCTGGGGCGTTGAGAAGGTTCGATTCTTGCTGTTTTGGGCAAAGCAAGCAATCAATACAGATGTTCTACACCCAACTTCAATCCAGGTTTATCATGGGCACTTCCAAAAACTGGACCGATCGTGAAATGTGTGGGACCATTGGGGAGATGTGAGGCTGACCTGGGAAAAGCTATGAAAAGCTAATTACTCAGTTCTCCATCACTGCTCTTCCAACCGGGTAGTGTCCTCTTTTCGTGGCAAACATGGCTTAACTATGGCGTCTTGGGGCAAGACTGGCGCACCAGTTTACGCACCCGTGAAGAATGCTTGCCCTGAAGCAAGGTTGGTATATGATACGGCAATTGTTCCTCACCGCGAGAAATGCTGGACTTCCTTGCAAAGACCAGAGTGTCAAAGAAATCCTATTATTGGCAAACAAAAGCTGTTTAGACTCGGTTGGCAACTCCCAAATGCAGACAAATGCAGACAAATGCAGCTTCAGAAACACACATGTGCGGTGTTTGCTTGGCTCCCTGTTCCACGGTGGCACACATGTTCCCGCTCCCCCCGACAAGATGACCAAACAGGAGTTGCTGTTTTCAACGGGACTCACCAAGAAACTGTTCCAACCAGGAGGGCATTACATGCAAGCAGTTCCAAGCCTGGTCTTTAGGACGCCACAATTCGGCTTTGCCTTTGTCGGCCCCGTTTCGGTTGAACATCCAGAACCCCCATTGAGAACCTACACCAAGCAGAGAGGAAACCAAAGGCCCTCTCCCGAGGAAGGCTTCTTAGACATCCCTTTGTTTTCCCCACCAGCAGAAAGGTGGGGGGGGGGTTTAGGCGAACTGCTGAGGTGCCGTTACAGCAGACCTACATCGTGCCGGCCGGCGTCACGGCCATGGGTGTCACCGCGACTCTGAAGGACTGCTGGTCTTGGGCGGACGTTTTAGGGTCCGCTTGTGGCGTTGAAAAGAGCTCCGGCCATGTTGTTTTGTTGGGGGCGGGGTCCCTATTTCAGGGAACACCCACTGGTCCAGTTGCGCGTGGTGCTTTTCGAATCAATGCGGTGGAAATCGGGAGTCTACACCAGTGATCTGCTGTCAAAAGTTGGGACCTTGTTTTTGACACATCTGGGAGTTTCCCAAAAGCTGAGACCCTGAGTTTGCTGGTGTCTTCTTGCCGTGTTCAGATCCAACCAAAAGATACCAAAAGGGGTTCCCAATTTCAGGACGCTGGACTTGTGTTGCCTTTGCAGCGTCCCCGCCACCTTTCGTTGCAAAGGCAAGCCAAGAAGACGGTTTGGATGGAGTAAGACCGTTTTGTGGCAGATGAATTCCTAGGATGATGCGAGAGGGTGACAAGTAAGGGTTCCAAATTCGATCCAGAAACTGCAACAAAACAGGGCCTGCAGCGACATGGGAATGTCACTCCAAACTCGTTTCATGACCCTTCTAGGCGCATTTGATATGGAAGGCATCATGATGCCTTTTCAGCCATGCCAGGTTAGGTCGAAATACCAGATGGTGCATTGAGGAGCGAGAAGGGGGAACTCACCAAAAGTCAACCACAAAACAAGAGTACTCACAGAGTTTCAACCACAAGAGAAAAGGAAACTGAAAAAGAAGCAGCCGCAGAATTCAGGGGACATTTGATCAATTTCCAATGTGGGAGCCACTGGGAGCCGCAAGCGAATTTTCTCTTGGCGGGGGCAGGCCACCAGGTGCCATGGTTCCACAGGGGTACCATTGAAAGGGTGGTTGTGAACCTCCACCCGTTGGGCCACTTTATAAGGTAAGGTTGCAAGGGGCCCCAAAAAATGTGATGTTCCTGTTGGTTTTCCTTGAAACCAACCCCAAAAAGGACACCCCTCAAAAACAACAAACCGAAATGTAGGGAACCTGGTGCATGCTTCGGATGTCTCTTTTGACGTGCTTGGTGCGCGTCCGCAGGGCATCACTCCTCGGTCCATCATTTTGGCATTGACCACGGACCACCTGACGCGCATCTCCAAGGATATCTTGAATCCTCGGAGGCCGGTCGTCTGGAGAACGTGGATTCGCTCGGGTTGGGTCGGGGCTTTTTTGCCGGAGACTTGCGGTTGACACAGGGTGTCTGGACCTACATGTGCGCACGGCACAGTTGCTTGTGGACGAAGCGAGGTCGACCCCTGATTAACACCAGCCTCAATGATTAGTCAGAGGGAAGGCAGTTGAATCCCCACCAATATTGCGTCTTATTTATCAGGACTTGGCGTCAACGGCCAAGACAACACCGCCATGAGAACTTGCAAGAATTGGTCGATGACTCTAAAGAGGAGTCCGTTCTGAGCATGCGAAGGCAAATGCGCAAACCCCACTGTCTTAGGATCAAGGTGTTGGGGATGTGTTTGCTCCCAGCTTTAGCTGACACGGTCATTTGTTCACGTAGGAGTGATGTTTAACAGGGATTTATGTCCACCTACCACCCTTTGGGGTGGGTCACAGTAAATTTCATAGCCACATGGCACAACATTGTGTGAAATTGTGATTGCAGGTGGTTCATTCTTCATGTTGCGATCTCGCATCTGCCTAACCATGCCTGCTTTTGGGTAGCCGCCCATTTGAATTCAACAAACAAAGGGCGCGCCACCTTTTTTCCGCGATGGGGAAAGAATGGTGCAAGTCAGACGGTGTTTCTGCCCGGAAATGGTGGTTACTAGAAATTGGCCACACACCTGTAATGAAAAATAATTTCCTGCAGACTGTCCTGTCGCTGGTTTCTTAGATTATACTTCAGCAAGACTCATGCATGTGGCCAAGGTACGTGTACTGCTTCACTTGGGGCACCAAAAACCATCCTGCCCAACTTCGATTTGCCAAAGAATATGTGTTGTTTTCCCCTGTTGGTGTTAAAGGGAATCTATCACTACTGGACATTTATTTTATTTTTCAGGGGGCTTAACCAAATGGAAGCTAGGACATTGACATCAGATGCCAAGTGACTCGTTCCCTTCAGAGTCGCTCCGGGCCTCCGCGCTTCGTGCGAGGCCGTACCCGTCGATGACTCCGAACGACAAGAAGTCCTTGCCCTCCCAATTCGCGCCCACCAAGGAGCTTTTTTTTTGCCCACATCGGCAAAGAAGCGCCAAGGTCCACGCGTAAGCCCTTTGCCCCAACCTTCAGGGTCACTGAAGTTCAGATGTGGGCATTGAAAGAAGGTTAGTGAACGTCGAGTTTGTGTTTTCTGCGATGTGCTGCTCCAAATCGGATTAGGACGCCCTCTAGGTGGCTGGTTTTGTTTGGGTGTCCCTTTGAAACCGGCCATCGACCCATTTTGAGACACTCAGTGTGGTCCCAGCGAGTTCTGACTCCTCCCAGTCGAGTGCAAAAAGAGAAGAGGGTGTATATTTGTATATATATATATAATTATGTATATATGTATATCTTTTTCTCGAAGCGGCTCCGGGCTAGGGTTGCTGTTTCAAGTAGCACTTGGGCTTGGAAGCTTCCCAAAGGCTTTTTAGTCACGGAGGGAAGTCCGGACCGCCTCTCCGATGAGTTTGCACCTTGCCCGCGAAGCCGGCGTTGAGAAGCCCAAAACAGGACCCCATCATCTGTTCCAAAAAGTTGAACTCTCAATGTGATGAGTTCCCGAAAACTTGGAAAAGGACCCCTGCAGGCGTTTTGGAGGGAAGCAAAAGGACACCACCCACTTTCAGAAATTCATGTCAACACATTGAAAGAACCTTCGCAAAAACAGAGGATAGCAACGATATTCCCAACCAAGTTACCCTCAAGTAAAGAAACACCCCGTTTTTTTTGCGAACCACCCATGTGTTGAACATGACAGAAACTGACAAAACGGCTCTCCGAATTTGACAACTTGCAAATTGCCATATCAACAGCAAATGCAGCATAGTTGTTGGCAGTTTGCAGCAAATAAACCAGACTGTCAAGCCTTTTAGCTTGTATTCCCTCTGGCTTCATTTAGTGGTGGCTGGAACCCAAATAGAATACTAAGCTTGAAAGTTGGGATTTGAAGCAAATGCAATGGGATCACACTCACCCGGGCGCAGTTTAAAGCCGTGGCCCATGTCCCCTTCCAGCTTCGTCGGGAAGATGGGACCCCCCACTCATTTTCTGCTCCCAAAACATGGACGCTGCAAGAACATATGCTTGAAGGGAAATGGGTCCGGTGGGGCCTCCAGGTTCCAGGTTTGTGTAGCAAGCCAAGTTGAGGAAGCGAAAGCGCAATCGCACCTTGGCAAGGTGAGTCCAGGGTTTTGAGTCTTGTGAAAAGGACTATGAGTGACCAAGCAATTGGGGTCGACATCAGGTCTTGACACAAACGCCCACTTGATCTGTCTCTCACCGTTGGCCCCAAAACAGGTGGGCCTTCCCAATTGCCCTTCAATAATCACCCCCGACTGGGGTACCTTCACAAACACTCGTCATGTGTCAAAGTAGGGGGACCCCAAAAACGGAGGTTGTCCTTTTGAGTTCCCTAACCTGAAAAGGGTGTCAAGAAACAAACCCGAGTACATGGCCATGTCTGGGGTCTCCAAAACGATTTCATGTTCTGAGATGGACTATGAAACAGACTCTGAACCATTATTTTCTTGGTGGCTCCGAGCCATCCCCTTAGCCTTTTAGCTTTTAGTGTTTAGTGGTAGTTTCCATTTAACCCACCAAAAGTTAAACTTTTAGCGGGGGATCTGAGGGCAGCCCAGTTTGTGTACCCCAGATGTGCGCCAAGACTTGTCCTATGTCTGGCTTTGCCCTGGGCCAGGACGAGCCCTTGGCGCCCTACACTGCCCAAATCCCATGGCGGCACACGGAGATGCTGAACTACTACCACGCCGAGACCTCGGGATATGTTTTTTCCAGATTGTGACCCCAAGAAAGACTTCAACCCAGAGGTTTTTGTTTGGGATTTCGACCATTTCTGGGTTGAAGTCCCTTGCTCTGGAACTTGGGCCCCCTCTCAGTTCGGAGCAGAAAAGGCATGGCACCTTTGTGCTCTTAAAGTGCTTCTCATGAGTCAGATGACATCTTGTGCATTCCAATGGTCAGGAAAGCTGAATACGCAAGCCGATGTCTGATGGCCCCACAAGGACCTGCTGGAATGAAATGGCTTTTCCATGAAACCTACACAAGGTCAAGGTCCAACAACCTTTCGCTCATGGGGCCTTGGAGCAACCCTACCATCAGGTCTCTTAACTTGAGCCCAGGCCCTGCATCGGGTGACCGGCATCGCCTCCTCCCCCACGGCCTTGGAGCAGGGGCCCTGGGCCGTGACCATGTTGGATACCTCTCAAAAGTGAGTGGACAACAATTTCCAGGTATCCCAAAAGTGCTTGCCACCTAAACGCCTGCAGTGTGCGCAATTCAAAGCTCCTACCCATATATGTGTTTTGCCTTTCGGCCGGGGGGGGGGCAGGGAGGTGTGGAGGTCTCCGTATTAAAATGGTTTAAACATCAAGTCTTGGTTGCCAGCGTGAGATAATCTTCCCTTTTGTGGCTGAAAACAAAGGTGCAAAGTGGAGAGGCCCTGTTTGCGGTTTCTTCTTGTTGGGGGGAGGGGAAAGGGAACCGGTGTGTTTGTGTTTGTTACTGGCCCCGGGGGCTTCACCCTGGTTGGTTGGTTGGTTGCCCCAGCATCCTCGCTGGCTGTGGGTTGGTAGTAGTTGGGAGTTTCTCGGGTTGGCTGGCTAGGGCTTCTGGCAGTTGAGAGATGGTCGCGGCTGGTTTTGGGTAAGTTTTGGGCTTGCTGAGCTCGTAATGAGGGTGGGTCTTAGGTTTGTTTGGGGTTCACATCAGGCTCGGCAAAGGGCTGATGTCAAGGAAGCTGAGTTTTAGGTTGTCGTTCGGTCGGTTTTGGATTGGCTTGGAGCTGATTTGCTCCAGATCCGCGACTCGTTTTTTGCAGTGGCTTTTGGGCATTCGGGTGTGGTTATGCAAGTTTAGAGCTGGTTTGGGATTGGTTGTGGGGCGTTGCCCCAAACCACCAAAAAACGCACCAAACTCGCTCTTGTGTGTCCAGCAGGCCGCTCGCCCATGGGCGAGAAAGATCAATATGGATCAAGCACGTCTGATGCAAGTTGCGCCTTCAAAGTCCGGGATTTTGGAAGCAAGCCTATCCAGCCCGCGAGGTCCACGTCGCTGGTCCGGCCGCCATCTTTGAGCTTCCTGGAAACTGAGACTTGAAGCACTTGGAACAACATGATTGTGGCAGAAACACTTGTGACAGTAAGAAACAAAATGGAATCCCTGAAAAGTAATGAAGTAGTGTTACTACGACCTATATTCCTCAAGCCTGAGTCTTTTGGGTCCTGCCTTTTTTGGAGCAACAAGCTAAATGATTTTGTGGGTGGGATTGACCAACAAGCTAGTGACGATGTGGTTGCAATCCACGGAAGAGTTCCATAAATTGTAGTGTTGTTCAAATAAACTAAGAGAAGGTGGACATGTCTCTACGATGCCAAATTGGGATGGGCAATATTTTCTCCCATGTTTATTCGCAACCCCCCTAGTTTCTCATGTTTTGCATATTGACCATCTTTCCCCTTCTTTCAATTTTTTTAAGAGTCGTCCCCCCACGTTTCCCCATGTTTCCTCACGATCTGCATGTGTTTCTAGGGGTTGATTCACCTCTTCTTTTCAACCATCGTTCCTTTCCAACAGCTGGCCGTTTCCTCAGGGTTTCCGGAGGTTTTCCAGAAAGAAGGATCCCCTAAGTGGGATACTTCTTTCTCTGGATAGAATGCAGTGATCATAATGGTTTCCATTGTTGTTACCGGAAAGAATGGAATGGAAGGTACCCCTAGAGTGTTTTCCATTCTCCCATGTCTCCATCCCCATGTCTCCTCCATGTGTGCCAGGTCTTCGCCTACGGCCTGGACCTCTTCTTCACCCCCATGCAGAGCGCCAAGGCCTACGACGTGCTCAGCGCTTCGGCAAAAAAGCATACGGAGTTTCCCGGTGTTTTTTGTTGGAGATCACTGGCATGTGCAGTCTTTTCGGCTTTTTTGGTGGGGGCTATGGGGAAAGCAGCAAAAAGGGCGCATGTCCAAAGACAATCTGAAAAAGCCTGAAAGCTTTAGGCCAAACTTGTCCAGGGAATCTTGAGCTGGGGTCATGTTTTAGATGGTTTCCAGGGGTCCAAGTCAGAAAGTGGGCAGGTGCTTTGTTCCTTTAACCTACCAAACGGAAGGATGTGCCAGGGTCAACATGGCTTGAACACTCTGCGCTTTGGGAAGCTGCATTTGAGTGTTTCATTGTGGGAAACAGTTTTTTAGGGCCACTTGAAAGTGACAAAATAGAGCTGGGTTGTGGAAAACTGGGGCCATGAGTAATGGCCAAGGTCAGGATCATCATGTTTTATATACGTTATTGCTTGGCCATAGTTATCAAGTGGTTAGTTGCTTAGGAAGACAGCTGCGGGGACTTCTCCGAGTTTTCCACAGATTCCCGGGTAGCAAAAAGGCTTAGATGTTTGGAACCTGTGCTGGAAAACTCGAGTTTTTTGGTTGTCCGTATCTGTGACACCGGCGGAGCCTCCTTGCAAGAGACGAAGTGGGCATAGGGAGCGAATCCCGCTTGGGTGTCGCAGAACATGTGCTTGTTCTTTTTTACAACCATGTCCGGCTCACCTTCCTGGGTACCCCTTATTTCCGGTTTTGAACTATTTTGAAGTTTGCAGAACCTAAGAGACCACATGGACTGAGGATCAATTCTGCTGCAAATTGTTGGTGGGGGGAACTGATATGTTTGCCTTGTTTTGTTGTGTTTCTCGTTTTGTTGGTTTCCAAGCCCAACTACCACAGCGAAAGTGCGAGGATGCGCCCCCCGCTCCGGGGGCCGTGGGTTTTTACGATTGACTTGCGGGATCATCAAACCTGTCGCGTGGTTTTTGGGAGCAGCATTGCGTCCGACAAAAAAGAAGCTTGTTCGAGCCACACAATCGAGCCTCCCATGCCCGGAGTTCGGCCCGCTGACCATTTTTACAGTGAGGCCCTATTAAGACAGAGATGGTTTGCGCACATGCCGAAGAGCTGAATTCACGCGCAGGGCCACAGCTTCTGCTCATGAACTCACCAGTGCTCGCAATTGTCAGTTGCTTCATTGTGTAATCTCGTACAAACATGTTCATCGCAGAAACATGGCTCAATCACTTCCAGTACAACTTCCTTTGATGGAGCGACTAATGGCTGGGAAGGGATCACCAGGGTTCCTTTAACGGGGCCCCCCACGTAGACGGTCCGGATTGGCAAAGTCAGTAGGTTCCCCCGAGCCAACTCCACTGTACACCCTTGTAGGGATGCTAACTATTTGGGTATGTCTCAAAACCGAGCGACCTCCAATCTGGTGGTTTTCCCATTCGTTTCCGTTTAAGCCAACCAGCCGAGGCCCTGGCTTCAACTATCTGCTGCTCTACGGATCCGCCGGGCACAACAGATGGAAGCCCCCAAAATGGTCCGCTTACCTTTAGCAGCACACGACCACCTTAAAAGGGACACTCAAACGAAGACAATATAGCTTTCTGTTGGGCCGTGCCCAGATCCTTGGCTTTAACATCCCAGCATTCAATATTAGTGCTTTGGGGGGGGGGCA